GACTATGGCAACGCTTGCACATGTTGGCTGAAGCTTTGGCATTGGGTGCCTCAAGCCTCGTCGCCATCCTGGGGCGCTGCCGGCCGGCGCCATGGGCCCCGGCGAGCTCTTTGTCCGCGCGCGGGCGCGGCCCGTGAAATCACTTGTTCACGATTTCCCCCACCCTCTCAGGAATGGCAGTGGCGGGGCTCGGTTCTGCAAAGTATGCCACCCAGAGGAACCGCCATTGGAAGAGGTGAGGGGCACTGTCGTTCGGGGCCAGTTGCTGTCCGCCCACTTCGACGGCGTGGTCCTGATGCGGCACGGCTCCACGTCTGCCGCGCGGGTGCGCGTGCTGCGCCACGTGCAGCAGGGGCATATTGATGCGCCCGATTGGTTGGCAGCCCCCCAGCCGCCCGGGGGCGGGAGAGCCCGGCCTGTGGACTCAGTCTTGGCTTCGCAGTGGGTGCGCACCGTGGCGTTCCAGAACATGCGCCCACTGAGATTGGCCGACGACTGTCGGCGCACCATCCCGGCGCTCTCTGGAGTGCCAGGGCGCAAGGGCATCAAGACAGAATTGCCGCCCCAGGTCGCCGCGCTCAAAGCCGAGGCGAAAGAGATGTTGAAGGAGGCGAAGCTCCAAGGCTGCAAGGTGGCGGCCTCGCTAGACGGCTGGAAGACCAAGAGCTTCACGCCGATGCACTTTACGGCGATCATCGCCGACTGGGCCGACCCCCTTCGCCGGCATAGCGCGCGCATCGGAGTCAAGCGCATGCCCGCAAGTAGGGGCCAGGGCGCATACGAAGCCGTGCTCCACGGACGCCTCAAGGACGTCGGCCTCGACGTGTCAGACGCGATCGCAGGGCCGAGCGACCGCGAGGGCGCAGCGAGGAAGGGACTGCAGAACGCAGGCCTCAACATCGTCGGCTGCGGCTGCCACCTCGCGCAGCTGGCCATCAAACGCGCGCTGCCGCTGGCCCGCAAGCGGAAGCGTTAAAAGCAGGGCTCGTCGTCTTCTTCGAGTGCGTCGTCGCTGGCCGCCGCCGCCGCGGCCGGCGCCGAGGCCGAGGCGCCGCCGGCCAAGGCCGCCAGCATCGTGCCTTTCCGCGCCTCCAGATTTGCCGGCTCGGCCTGCGCGCCCGCCCGGGCGGCGACGGCAGGCGCAGGCGCCGCGCTGCCCCAGGTGGCGCCGCCAGCGCCCAGGCGGCCGCCAGCGGGGTCGTCGCCGCCGCCGTCGTCGTCTCAGAGGGGGATGGCCGTTTGAGACATTGGTAGTTGGCCCTCGGGGGTGCCCCTCGTCGCCACGGCTGGACGCAGCGCGGAAAAGTGCGTTTGGCCCCGGGGAGGAGTCCGATTTTGAGCTCCGATTGTCTCAAGCCGCCCTGCTCCGTCCGTCGTCGTCGTCGTCGTCGTCGTAGTCGTCCGAGGCTGCCGCTGCGCCCCCGGAGCGCGCCGACGCTGCCGCTGAGCCCCCAGAGCACGCCGAGGCTGCCGCTGAGCCCCCGGAGCCAGCAGCAGCGGAGCCAGTGACCACGCCGACGCGCCCCCGCCCCGGCGGCGGCACAGACGCGGTGGAATCCCCGCAGACGGGGGGGAAGCGCTCGCGGGACACTTCGCTCTCGAGCAAGTACGCCAGCCTCCGAAAAATTTGCGAGGAAAGTGCGCCACCAATCCCTTGGGGCCACGGCCCCAGGGGGCGGTGGCGCCCTGACTTCGCGAAAGAGCACGACGACCGCGTCTTCGACTCTAAAAGCGCGCGCATGGCACGCGCAGCGGCCGCCAGTTCGTCGACGGCGGCCGCCGACCGCCAGCCTTAGTAAGCCCAATAGAGGCGGAGGGCCATCATGGCAGCGCACGTGGGATTATTTCTCCCGCGCGGAATCAAGAGCTCATGCGAGGTGCCCTTTGTTAGTTTGCAGCATGAGCGCGCGTTTTCGGGAGAGAAACCAGGATTTGTTTTCCCCTTCCTCCTCGGTCTCAGAGCCCCCGCGCCCCGGCGGAGGCCCCCGAAGCTTGAGCCTAAATTGTCGTTGTGCACTCCGGCCTCGTCGTCGTCGTCGTCGTCGTCGTCGTTGCTTCGTTGCGTCGTCGTCGTCGTCGTCGTCGTTCTCGCCGTCGGGCGCCCCCAGATCTCGCGACCCCTTCCCTCAGTCGCTGTTTCTTTTTTCTCAGCGGCCCTGGGCGCCGAAACCGAGCGCGCGGGCCTCCCGGGCCCCAGGAAGGGGAGGGCTCGGCCGCCTGCATCTGCTCTGCCGCGGGGGTCCTCCGAGGGGGGCCCTCCGAGGGGGGGTCGCGCCCGCGAGGGGGGTCGCAGCCCCGAGGGGGGTCGCGGCCGCGAGGGGGGCGGCAGCCGCGAGGGGGGTCGCAGCCCCGAGGGGGGTCGCGCCCGCGAGGGGGGTCGCGCCCGCGAGGGGGGTTGCAGCCGAAGTCGCTGTCGCTTTCGCCGCCGCCGCCGTCGCCGCCGCCGTCGCCGTCGCCGTCGCGGGTCGCCAGGGGGGTCGCCAGGGAGGTCGCCAGGGGGTTCGCCAGGAGGGTCGCCAGGCCCCCCCCCCGGGGCCTTCCCGGAGCTCCCCAGGGGGGTCGCCAAGAGGGTCGCCAGGAGGGTCGCCAGGGCCCCCCCCCCGGGTCCGCTCAAAATCGGTCCCATGACTTTTCCTCTTGGAATCTATTCCAGCCCGGTGTCGGCGAGCGTGCCCTGTCGGGCCCCCGAGGCCCCCGCGGGGGCCAGAAGCAGGAAAACCAAACGAAAAACATCCTCGGACCGACGACGACCGACGACGGCGGCGGCGTCGGCGGGCGCGGGCGTCGGCAAGCGTCCGTCGTCGTCGTCGTCGTCGTCGTCGTCGTCGTCGTCGTCGTCGTCGTCGTCGTCGTCGTCGTTGCGCGCGCCCGCCAGCCAGGTGCTGGACTCGGTGGACTCCAGCGACCTGGGGGCTGGGGTCCCGGGGGTCCCGGGGGTCCTTGGGTCCTGGGGTCCCGGGGTCTGAGCTGGGGTCCTGGGTCCGGGGTCATGGGGTCCCGGGGGTCCTGGGGGTCCTTGGGTCGTTGGGTCGTTGGGTCCTGGGGCCCCGGGGGCCCAGGGGGGCCCTGGGGTCCTGGGGGTCCGCGGGGCCGCGCGTATCTTTCGGAGGTCCTGGGGTCATCGGGGTCCCGGATTCCTGGGGGTCATCGGGGTCCTGGGGCCCGGACCGGATGGGGAAAGGGTTTCGGTTCGGTCCCCGTCGGTTCGGTTCAGGGGCCGCCCGGTTCCGGTGCGGTTCCGTTTCTGGTTCGGTTCGGTTCTCGCCGGTTCGGTTCTGAATGAATTCGGTTCGGTCTGGTTTGGTTTTCTACGTTCCTGGTTTTGGACCGGTTCGGTCACGGTTCTCGGTTCTCGGTTCTCCGCGGTCCCTTCATGCAACACGCTGTGCGAAGCGCCCAGGCCGTGCCGAAGTGCGCTGCTATCCGAGTCGCCGTCGCGCGGTAATCGCGCATCCTTGCGATGGGGCCTGCGCCGACGCATCGTTGTTTGTGACGTCGGTTAATGTCGCGTCGTAGCAGCCGCCGTTGTCGTCGTCGCCGTCGTCGTCGTCGTCGAACTTATCCACGGCAACGCAGCCGCGGCGCGGTGGACAAAACGCCCGCGCGCGGGGCAGGCGTGCGCAGGCACTCTCTCCTCCTCCCCTCTTCGCCGTTTTTTTCATCATCCGAGTCGCTCTGGACGAAGCCGCCTGGTGTCAAGGCACATCTTGTTCGTTGCCGCTTTCTGTGCGGAGGTACTCCTGGCGTCTTTGGGGGAACAAAAAGTGGCATAAACATTAAAACTTGAAGGTCCGCGCGGACCTCCGAGTTGCTATGTTTATGCCATTTTTTGTTCCCCTAGTCTGGGCGGATTGTCGTCGTCTTTGTATATGTCGCCTTCTGTGTTGTGCGGCGCTGTGTGGCGCTCTGACTTGGTCCTCGTAGGTACCGTCACCATCAACCTCGTCGCCACCTTCAGAAGCGTCAAAACCATCTCCACCAAACTCACCGTCACACTAATCTAATAGTAATACTAACGATTAGAATCATCAACATCATCATCATCATCACCATCATCATCAGCATCATCATCATCATCGTCATCATCGTCATCGTCATCGCCATCATCATCATCATCATCATCACCATCACCATCACCATCATCATCATCATCATCATCATCATCATCATCATCCTCATCATCATCATCATCATCATCATTTTCATCATCATCGTCATCGCCATCATCATCATCATCATCATCATCATCATCATCATCATCACCACCACCTCTCTTCGCCGCTTTTTGTGTTTTTCCTCGTCCTCCCAGCCCCAGCTTTCGAGCAGGGGTCGGCTACATAATTGAAGTATCCAGGAATTGATGTGTGTGTCGAGTGTGCGGAAAGTATCGAAAGATGTTTCGTATATCTACGGAACGTTCTAGGTTGTTTGTTCGTAGTCTCGTGCGAACATATTTTTTGAGGTACATAAATTTAGAACTCGATCCTTTGTTCGAAGCCTCATCTTCAACCTCCCAGCTCCCCCACCGCCCCATCCTTCTCACCCCCCACCCCTCGTCCTTTACGTAATCACCCCCCCTCCACTACTCCATTCACCTTGCCCTCGCCTTCCTTTCTCGCTCCTGACTCCCACCCATCGTCGTCCTCTCCGTCATCGCCCCCCCCTTTTTCTCCTCCCCCGCCTCTTCCCTCCCGTCCTTGCGTTGCTGCCCCCCCTCGCCCTCCTCTGCCTCTCGCTCCCTGCCTCCTCTCGCAGCTTCTCCTATTTTCAACACGCTGAAATGACGACCCCTCCGGTTTGGGCTCCAGAGGGGCTCTGGTGCTCGGGCGGTTCCTTGGGTCCAGGTCGGGGAACCTCCTCGTGGCTGGGGCTCGCTGGGGCCAGCCAAAAACCCCCCGTGCCTTATTCAGCGCACCCTGTGGCAGCACGATGACTGCACCGCTCTGCCTCTCCCTTCCGAGGGACGGAGATCGGGTATACCGGCGACGTTTGCGCCGCAGGCCAGGGTGCTGAACCGCGGCGTGTACCCGGTCACAGTGGTCTTCAATTACTCGTTCGGCTCGGTCGGGAGCGCCTCGGGCGTGCTCGGGAGAGAAAGGAGCAGGGCGCATGACGGTGATGATGATGATGATGATGATGATGATGATGCTGATGCTGATGCTGATGCTGATGCTGATGCTGATGATGATGATGATGATGATGATGATGATGATGTTGCCCATGATGATTGATGATGATTGATGATGATGATGGTGATGCTGAATGGTATGATGATGCTGATGATGATGAGGATGATCATGCTGATGCTGATGCTGATGCTGATGCTGCTGATGATTGATGATTGATGCATGATGATGCTTATGATGATGATGGTGGTGGTACTGGTGGTGGTGATTTTGGTGGTGATGATGATTATCATGCTGATAGGATGATGGTGGTGTGATGATGATTGTGATGATGATTGTGATGGTGATTGTGTAGGTGATGGTGATGGTGATGATGCTGATGATGATGACGATGCTGACAATGATGATGTTTATGATGATGCTGGTGGCTGTGATGATGATGTTGACCATGATGATTGTGATTTTGATGGTGATGATGCTGTTGATGATGACGATGATGATGATGATGATTATGATGGTGGTGATTATGACGACGCTGATGATGATGACTATGCCGATGATGCTGATGGTGGTGATGGTCATGGTCATTGTGATTGTTATGGTTATTGTGATGATGGTGGTTGCGGTGGCCATGATGATGATGATGATGATGATGATCATGATGATCATGCTGATGCTGTTGCTGTTGCTGTTGCTGTTGCTGTTGCTTATGATGATGGTCATGGTAATGACGATGATGATGAGGAGGAAGAGGATGTGGATGAGGATGAGGATCAGGATGAGGATGAGGATGAGGATGATAATGAGGAGAAGGAGGAGGATGGTGGTGGTGCTGCTTAGTATGATTATGATAGTGGTGGTAATGACGATGCTGACGATGACGTTGGTTGTTGGGATGATAATGACATTGGCGGTGGTGATGAGGGTGGTGGTTGTGATCCCCGCCAACAACTCGGCGACGGGCAATGCCATACCGATGCAGCCAACACCGATCTCTTCTCCAGCAATAGCAACACTTACAAGATGCGGGGATACCTGCAGCATCAGCCCCCTCGCTCCAAGACGCGGGGACACCTGCTGCTCATAACATGCCCAATCCTTTGAGCAATCGTTTGCTGGACCGCCTTCAACAGCAACAGGTGGCAACGGGAGCGAGGCTTCATCGTCGGCCCCGGTCGGTTGCGAGCCGCAGTAGCCGCGTTGACTCTCCGGGTGGATCCTGTGCCCACAGCCAAGACGTGGACATGGACCAAGCCGTGGAGAAGGAAAGGGCCATGTATGAGCAGAGCACGGGAGTCCCGCTGCAGGACACCACGGTGCGTACATCAGCGACTTGGCCAGATCCAGGACCTTCTGCCCGAACCGTTCAACAGCGTCCACTATGCCGACTGGGCCATTATCCACGAGGAGTTGCAGGCGTTCCATCCGAACTGGGACAACTCAGCCCTGCACCTCTCGAGGAACCAATGGGTCATACACAATAGGCGGTTCAAGCGGCAATTGGGCGCGGAGACGGTTACTGTGGCAACGCCAGCTGGCATCCCGCATGTATACGCATCGGGCAAGCTCAAGACGCTGATTCCCGACAAGCGACACATTGAGTTTCCTTGTAGACATTGGCTCATGCATAGGCATTATTGGCATCAGCGCCTCCAGAAGGTTTGACAGCCAGGCCAGACAGCATGGACACGTGCCGCGCATCATGGACCTGGTCAGGCTGGTGTACGTCAATGGTGTCGGGAGCTGCGCAGCAGTATGTTGCAAGCTTGGAGCATTCTACATCGCTTGCCATTGCCACCATCAGGACAAACCTGATACAACCAGGATGGATCACTTCATCGCCAACATCGCTGAGGGCTCTGGCGAAAATTTGCCCGCCATCATCGGTCTGACTTCCACGCAGCAGAAGAGGGTGATCTGGTTATTGGAGGAAGGCCGTGGGCGCATCAGATTTCGTGGCATCGGGGCACCTGGCCATCCCATGCTCCAGTTATTGGGAGGCCACTCCCGGCCCTGGCAGCGCCGCGCTGGAGGGCGCCATCACGCGCGTCAACGATTGCGGCGGCACTGTCCGCTACGCTACTGAGACGGGAGGTGATCGCGGACAGAGGTCCCAGGCAAGCCTGGACATTGGCGAATTCAACGACGAGAACCTGCATCGCTTTATGGATCGGGAGGTCGACGACGCCGTGAACATGATGGTCAGCACTACGCGTGACCGTTGGCATCGTTCAGACCGTCCTGCCAACCGCCACGAGATGACCCGCGCGCTGCTAGTAGGGACCCATCACAAGGTGAAGACAGCTGCGGAACATGGGGAGACAGACATGTCGACGCACCATCTCCGCTCGCACTTCGAGGAAGCACGGGGCCGGCTTACGGGCAGTCCCGGCATGTCCAGGGCGGCCACGTCCAAAGGGGAGCGGGTCGAGGTTCCGCCCGTGCGAACCTGCCGCAGGCGCATCGCATTGGCGACCCGAGCCCGCCATCGCAAAATTCCTCCGAGCAGGGCGACGCGAGCCATCGGGGGGTGCGGTCGTTTACGCGCAGCGATCTGCCAGGCGCCCTGCCCCGCGTTGACGCCCCCTGATGGGGGCAGACGGACTCTTCGGTCGAGCCTGCCTGCCGCCCCGACGCGGCCTTGCGCGCGGGCGTCTTCTGCGCGGCGCGGGCGTTCGCGGCCATGTGCTATAAAACATATGATGAGTCGCGTCGTCCCAGGGCGATTGTGTCAGAGGAAATTCGAATGGCTGCCGCCGAACGTTGCCGCCGAGGCTATATGTCTGACCGCGTTGCCACAATGAAAGGATGGCATCTATGGAAACCCAATGCTTGGGCGGCTTGTTGGCTGGAGATTGCGCACTGGTCTGGGTTGTCGCGCCCTCTGACTGGCCCATGCGACTGCCGGGGCAGCGCGCCGGGCCGCGCTGCGAGAGAATGCGGAGCCCGTTGACCAGAGCGCGCGCCCTCAGGATGCAAGTGGTGATCGCGCGACCTCTGGGGTACTTCTGGAGAGTGGGGCGGAAAAGAGAAGCCTTTGAGAGTTCAATGTCAGAGATGCTCGGATGCGTCTCTGCCGCTTCGGTGCCAATTGCGATCGCGCCGGCAAGCGGCCGAGCGTCCCAGATATACAGGCGTGCATGTCGCGCCCTGGGGGCCCGATGAGCCCGCGGAAATGCGCGTGCGCATCTGCTGCCGCACGCCAACTGGGCCGGCGCGGGCACGGCCGACGACGCGCCGAGTGGCGAAACAAACATGTTGCATTCCTGATCTCACAATTGCTGAACCAACCGGGCAACCGCGCGCCCTCAGGAAAGCGCAGAAAACGCACGTGCCCAATCGCGTTCACCCGCGCGGGCATTAACCTTAAGAGTGACGCGCAATCAAGTGCCGGCGGGCCGAAATGGGGCGACGCGGTCCGTCGTGCTGCCTTGGATCTACACGCCGAGAATATGATCCAACCGGCATGGCGCGACTCGCGCGCGCCTTTGCCGCCGGGCGCCCGCAGCGCGCGCGAGCGCTTGCACAGGGAACCTGCGGCCGAAGCCGCGCTCGGCCACGGGCAAACGACGAGCCCGAGGAAACGAGCTGCGTTCATCGTAGATGGTTGACCCCCCCTCTCGATGGGACGCGACGAGCCCCCCCCAGCTCTTTCGCCATTCCCCTGCGCTCGAGGCGGGCGCGCTACAGTCGCGAACAGCATTGCCAACTGATGCCCGGCCTTGGCAGCCAGGAAACGAATAGCTGACGAGGGGCCGACGTCGAACCAATGAAGATACCTTTAAAACATTGAGGACGGCGCCGGCGATTGCGGCTATGACCTCAGAGGCCCGGGGCGCGCTGCGTTATGCCCCGATGCTCCGGCAGAAGAAATTGAACCAGAAGCCGACGATTATCTCTTCCTAGTGCTACCTATCGCAGGGGGACCATCATCATAATACCTACTTTGTTCTGGCCGGGACAGCGGCGCAGAGGCGCTGGAATTCTTGCGGGGGCATGGGCGGCGAATCCCATTGTGCTCGGAAGACAAAACTGACCTCTAGAAGTTACTTTGACAAACGCGCTAACGCTGACTTAGCGCGCCCGCGGGCGCAGCGTGCTCCGGGGCGCTATCTGCGCGCCTGCTTCGTCGCAACGGTGATATTACAACCCAATTGTAGATCCAAGGGTTTGCCCTCCTACTTCAACGCCCAACAACGCCTATCCCTCAGGGAACAACTTGTTGGTGCGTGGCAGATAAGTTTGCCCCGTGGTCGACTCTAGCCAAAAGCAGGGACACTCGCGCGCATAGCATGCACCGATGCTTGGCAGGGCGACGAGATATCCACGGCGCGCTCATCAGGGGACCAACCAGAAAGATGGCTGACCGCAGAGCATGTCTGAAACCATTTGAAAATAAAAGATGCTCTCGCCATCGCGAACATGCCCAAGCACGCAGCCGATAATCCGCACAGGCGGCCCGATATGCACCGAATATGCAATCCCTGATCGTTGGCGCGGTCAAGATTTCGCGATGCCTTTTTGCGCGAGGTAGAAGCCCATTCGCAGATCGGAAACAGGCATGCATTCTTATGATAAGCAATGCCGCATGCGATCTTGACGACCCCACTTTACCTCGAGACGCCAATGGCTCAATCCGCCGACCACCGCCGAGCGGGCTGGGTAGCTCAGCGCGCGCCGATAATGTGCAACTGAATGCGCTGCGACAGAACCGCCATGCACGAACATGTCGGTGGTTTGACAAAGAACCCCACTGCTTGGAACGCCCAGGCTGCAAGGCGGACTATGGCCAAAACAAGCGGGGCCACCTGCAATGATCCGGCGAATCTCGATTTGCCAGACTCTGGCACTTGCCGGGCAACTTCGGGCAAGCCCCGCCGGCTGCGCCCGCGCCGGCAGACAGTGCGCCAGCGCCAGCGGCCGCTGCGCCAGCGGCGGCGCCAGCGCGGGTGGACGAACTCTTCGAGGACGCGCCGGCGCCAGCAGGGGGTGCCCCCTCTTCCTTCGGGAAAGGAGAGGGGGGGGAGGGGGGTGCCCTTTCCGGAGCGCGAAAGCGGGGGGGGGCGGGGGGGAGATTCCGAGGGGCGGAGAAAAAAGGAGGGGGGGGGTCCGGCAGGGGAGGTTCACGGGCAGAGGGTTAGCTAAGTCTTTCTCCTTTGGACAGGGAGGAAGGGGGAGGGGTAGCTTCCGTAGCGCGAAAGGGAGGGGGGGTAGTTTCCGAGGGGCGGAGGAGGAGGAGGAGGAGGGGCGGCTTCTGGCAGGGGAGGTCTTAAGGGGGGGGTGTAGCTACGTAGGAAAGAGCGCGTTTTGCGGTCGCTTGGAAGTGGGGGGGGGGGGGGGGGGCGGACCCCCCCCTTGGCGGCGGCAGCGGGGGCCGCGACTTCTGTTTCTGGGCCCGCGCCGGCGCCTGCGGCGGCGGGCGGCGGCGGCGGAGAGCGTTGACGAGGACGACGGTGGCGGTCGTGGTGGTGGTGGGTTGCGGTGGTGGTGGTGGCGGTGGTGGTGGTTGTTGTGGTGGTGGTGTGGTGGTTTGTGGTGGTGGTGGTGGTGTTGGTGGTGGTTGTGGTGGTGGTGGGTGGTGGTGGTGGTGGTTTGGTGTTGGTGTGGCGGTGGTTTGTGGTGGTGGTGGTGGCGGTGGTGGGTTGCGGTGTTGGTGGTGGTGGTTTGGTGGTGGTGTGGTGGTGGTTTGTGGTTGTGGTGGTGGTGGGTTGTGGCGGTGGCGGTGGTTTGTGGAGGTGGTGCTGGTGGTGGTGGTGGGGGGTGATGGTGGTGGTGGTGGTGGTGGTGGTGGTGGTGCGGTTTGTGGTGGTGGGTTGTGCTGCTGGTAGCGGTGGTGGTTGTGACGGTCGTGGTGGTGGTGGTGGTGTGGTAGATTGTGGTGGCGGTGGTGGTGGTGGTAGTGGTCGTGATGGTAGTGGTTGTGGTGGTGGTGGTGGTGGTGGTGAATTGGCGGTGGTGGTGGTGGTGGTGGTTGTGGTGGTGGTGGTGGCTGTGGTGGTGGTGGTGGTGGTTGTGTGGTGGGTTGGTGGAGGTGGTGGTGGGTTGAGGCGGTGTTGGTGGTACTGGTGGTGGTGGTGGTGGTGATAGTGGTGGTAATCGTCGATGCGTCCCCGCCGTCGCCGGCCCCGGCGTTGCTGGCCGCCGCCAGCGCCGGCGCCGGCGCCGCCGCCTGGGGGGGCAGCGCCTCGTCCTCGACTGGGTCTCGCGCCTGGGCCCCCCTCGTAGCCGCGGCTGGACGCAGCGCGGAAAACTGGGCCGCGCCATGGCGGGATGGGGCGAGGTGGTGGCGCAGGCATGGGACCATGCCTCGCGGGCTGCCACCAGCGCGACGACAGCCTGGGTGGCGTCGACGGCGAGCTGCAAGGGCGCCGTCACGCATGCCATCTACGAGTGTGGCGGCTGGGAGGCCCCTGTTCGCTTTCACGCCTGGCTTCGGGCCTTTCGCCCTGGCGTGGGGCTGGTGCTTGGTCGGCGTCCTGTGCAGGCTGCTGGTCGGCTTGCAATTCGAGCAGATCGCGCACCGGGCCGCCTCGCTGGCGTCTGGGTGGGCGCGGCTTGCTCGATCAGGCCATTGCTGCACCGCCGGGGCTTGCCGCCATGCCGCCATGGCATCGCGCTGTCCGGGCCGAGCTCGCAGCTGCGACGGGACCGCGGCGCGTGATCCTCCAGCGCTTGTCCGACGACGGGGAGGCCGCCTTGGACCTCCTCGCGGCCGCCGGAGGCGTGACGCGGCGGGACGCCTTGGCGCGCGTCCTGGGCGACGCGGTCAGGGCCAACGCGGCTGCCCGGGGGCTTTGACGCTGCCCGCGACGAACGCTGCGCGCTTGGCGGCCCCGCCGGCGCCGCGGACCGGGCGCGGCCGCGCCGCTGGGGGCGCCAAGCGGCCCGCAGTAAGCGGGCGCACGGCGGCGCCCGCAGGGCGCCTGGCGCACGGCCAGGCGGCCCCGCGCGGGCGGTTGCCGGCAGCTCGGCCTGGCAGCCCTGCAGCGGCGGGCGGGCGCGCGGCGGCGCCCGCGGGGCGCCCGGCGCCCGGCCAGGCGGCCCCGCGCGGGCGGTTGCCGGCAGCTCGGCGTGGCATCCCGGCGGCGGGCGGGCGCGCGGCGGCGCCCGCGGGGCGCCCGGCGCCCGGCCAGGCGGCCCCGCGCGGGCGGTTGCCGGCAACTCGGCGTGGCAACCCAACGGCGGGCGGGCGCGCGGCGGCGCCCGCGGGGCAACCGGCGCCCAGGCAGATCAGCTGCTGTCGCCGCGGGCGCTTGCGGCCAGGGGGGGAAGGATTCTGCCCCTCGAAGTCACGCCCCCTGGCCGCCTGCCCGCGGCGGCCCTTGCTGCTCGCCGGCGCCGGCACTGGGCGCGCTTGCGGGCGCGCCGCGGGCGGTGCGGTTCGCGGAGGCCGAGGGGGCGCCCGAGCCGTTCCCGGTCCCTCGGGGGCGCCGCCGGGGCCGCCGGGCGGGCGGCCGCGGCCGCCGCGGGCGGCGGGGCCAGGGTTCTGGGCCCGGAGCGTCGCGGCCCAGAATCGCCCCAGCCCGCTGCCAAACCCGCTGGGGACGCCGCCGGGGCCGCCGGGCGAGCGGCCGCGGCCGCCGCGGCCTTGAGCATCCAATACACCAATACATTGCAAACACCAATATATATTGCTCTCAGCGAGAACCCATGTTCGAAAATATTCGCTCGCGGCGGGCGCCAATATATTGGTACGCTTTCCTATGTTGTGTTCGGCATGATCCATCATGGTTGCGCGACGTCACCCCTTGCTGGGGGAAGAGCTTCCTGCGACCCCTTCAAAGGGGCACTTCCTTTTCTTTTACCCTTTTTATTATGTAGCCATTTGCTCAAACGCGAGCGGCAGCAGGCATTGCGTTGAGATGGGGGGCGCTTCTAAGGAGAAGCCGCGCCTCTACCGCACTTGCCAGCTCGGCGATGAGGCCATGGTTGACTTGGTGAAGCAGCGCGTGTCATTGATCGAGAAGAACTACATCAATGGCACAACGGAGCAGATCATCAAAGATAACATGCCGTTCTTGTTGGATGCGTGCCAGGCGTCGCAGCGCTTGAGCTCCACAGCGCTCACGAAGGCCATCGTTTCGCAGAAGACGCACCTCACGGCAGAGGAAGCGAAGCGCTGGGCCACTGAGATGAGCAGGTGCGTCAGCTACGTAGTGAACAAGTTCAGGAGCGCCGTGGCCGCGGAGAAGCTGGATCACTACACGAGGACCCTCGGACAGGCGATGAACTTGGAGTGCGGTCGTACTTCTTCTGGCAAAAAGAAGGAGACGCCACGCAGTGATGACGTCGTCGAGAGCACCTCCGCGGATGACACTCGTGCCGAGAGCTCGGCCCCAGCCGCGAGTGCACCACGCAGTCCAGCAGACGCAAGGCACAAGCTGATCAAGGAGCTATATGGGATTTCTCCACCGCCCAAGGCGAAGACCAAGAAGGACGAAGTGCACAGCCCGCTCGTCGTTTTCTCAAGCCAGGAGGTGATGGAGTCACCTGCGCGCCCTTCCGCTGCACCTGCCGCTTCTAGCTCTGCGAAGAAGGTCACTTTTCACCTCCTCTCCATCCCTTTCTGCTGCCTGCTAATTTCTCCTGCTGAGATCATCCTCTTCTATCCGTCCAACTCATCCGTCTTCTTTATCACAGGTGACGTGGTACGACTGGAACTCCGACCCGCCGTCCATGGTCGTTGCTGATGAGTCGGGCCAGGAGACGCGCATGCCGCTGTCAGCAGGCGAGATGGGTTTCTTGATCTCACGCGCGCCTGGTGGGGACAAGATCGAGACAGACCAGTCCAACGCCTTGCTCGTTGCCCATGCTGAGTGGCGGAAGAAGCGGGAGGCCCAAGAGAAGGAGGCGCCGACGAAACCTGACCAAAAAAAACAATGAAGAAAAAGTGTATAAAAGCAGCCAGGAAGCGCCCTGCTGCAGCGATGAAGGGACCTCCCAGGAAGCGCCCTGCCCGCGCGAAGGCTGCCAGCGAGGATTCGGACGGAGAAGAAGGCGGCGGGCAGGAAGACGAAGAGGAGGAGGAGGAGGAGGAGCAGCAGGACGCGGGAGGCGGTGGCGACGACGAGGCGGAGGACGAGCTAGCCGACGAAGCAGTTGGAGGCGTCTTGTTATACTTTTTCGTTTCTTTTTTTGTGTTGTGTTGTTTTTCTAATTTTTTTTTTTATTCTTTTTGTCTTTGTTCTTTTGATGGTCCTCTTGTCTTTTCTTTTTTTTGTCTTTTTGTTTTTGTCCTGCTTTTTTGGGGTGGTTTTTTTTTATTCTCTTATTTTATTTGTCGTGCTTTATTTTTTTTGGTATCCCCTCTTTTTTTTTTGTTTTTGCTTTGTCTTGCTCTCTTTCATTTTTTGTCGACGGGCGCGATTATCACTTTGACTGGTACAAGAGGGACCGCAGGGTGGGGATCAAACTGCTGCGCGGGAAGAAGAATCAGCTATGCTCGTTCGGAGGCGCCGCTGCGAGGGACAAGGTGTCGAAGGAGGAGCTGCTGGACATCGGCAGGCAGGTGTGCGAACAGCTCAAGGAGGGCACGATTGCTGAGACGTAGGCTGCTGCGCGGGGCGCTGCGGACGCTCTGATGGAGGAGCTGATCGATGGAATTGCCCTCATCCTCCTCATCATCATCATCGCGATCATCATCGCCATCATCAGCACACATCGTCATCTTACGCAGCACTTCCCCTCTTTCAGGGGCTCGCCATCTCGTCTCTTCACGCTTTTATATAATGTTCACATCCCTTCCACCAGGGGCGTCACGAACCCCTTGTTAGGGGGCGCGCCCCTTCATTCGGGGGAACCGCAGCAAGAGATTTCGATTGTTTATGTTCAGTGCAGCCGCTTGCGGCCCCAGGCGATCGAGCCCGCGAGGCTCACGAGAAGGCCTTCGCGCAATGGCGAAATCCGCTCTTGTGCTCGCGGCGCTCGCCGCGTGGCTCGATTCGCAGGGGGCGGAGGCCGCGAGTCTTGGGAACAAATCAGGAGGTTCGGATGTCAGGGGCGAGATGGGGATCAGGGAATTCAGATACCAAAGTTTTCTAAGAGAAACCTTCTCCCTCCAGGAACTCCTTGGGTAGAGCCAGAGAAGAGCGAGGGCGCGCGCCAGCCCCCCCCCCCCCCCCCCCCCCCCCCCCCCCCCCCCCTCACTCAGGCGATGATCGCTGGCAGCGGATCTGCTCCGGGAGGCAGCGGCGGCGACCAGCGGGGCGATCTTCCGCGGAAGCGTCATCTCGATGGCGCGAAGGACGCTGGGTCGGATGCACAAGTTTATTGACCCCTTGCTACGGGGCGCCTCTTCAATAGAGGATTTGTTCGTCTTCCCCCCCTTTCCTTCCCTAGGGCGACGTGACCGCCGTCAGACGAGGAGGGGGGGGGGGTGAGGCTGAGATGCTGAGGGATCTCAGGGAGTAGCGGCGCACGAGGGCTCCAACAAGGCCGTTCTTGCGCACGGACGAGATCCAGCTGTGCAATAAGTGCAGCAGGCGCACGTGGGTCTTCACGTGCGTGTCGCGTTCCTGCCAGGAGCACCACGCCTCTCGCTGGTGGACGGAGCGGGGCTTCATCTCCACGGGGGGCCGCCGCTATCGCGGCCGCAAGTCGGAGGCCGAGCGCGCCAGGTGGCCCCCATGGGAACCCATTACACTGCGCGCCCACTGGAAACCTAAGTTTGACATGATAAACCTTTCTTGTCACCAGAGTTTGGCATGAAAAACTTTTCGCAGCTTTTCAATCCGAGTTTCTGTTCTTGCAGGGTTCTTCCTCCTCCTCCTCCTCCTCGTCCTCCTCCTCCTTCCCCTCTTCCTCCTCCTCTCCTTCCTTCTCCTCCTCTTCCTCCTCCCCCTTCTCTTCCTCCTCCTCCTCCTCATCCTCCTCCTCCTCCTCCCTCCCTCCCCCCCTCCCCCCTTCTCCCTCTTCACGTCCGTTTCCTTTTCTCCTCCTCCTCCGCCTCCTCCCTCCTCCCTCCTCCTTTCCCCTCCTTTCTCTTCCTCCTCCTCCTCGTCCTCCTCCCCCCCCCCCATCCCCCCTCTTCCTCTCCCGCCGTCTCCCCCCCCTGCCCCCCTCCTTTCCCCCTCCCAGGTGGCAGCAGCAGAGGGTGGGCAGGAACGAGCAAGCTCTCGTGAACGCCACCGAGGACGCGATGGGGATCAGGAAATAAAGCACCCTTGCGCTAGGGGGCGCCAAAACAGCCCTACGATAAGATTCCCCTTTGCTAGGGGTGCAAACATCCCTACTTGCATTAACGACCCCTCAGCTAGGGGCATATTGTCCGCAATCCCCGGGGCTCGGCCGAGGGAGCAGGTGGGGGCGCGGAAGCAGAAGGAGAAGGCGCGGAAGCAGGAGCTGCAGGCGCGCATCCAGCGACGCAGCCTGCGACGCAGGAGGCAGGAATGCAGACCGAGACCTGCGAGGGGGCCCCGCTCAGCCCAGAGGCGGACGCAGACGACACTAGCGGCGCTGAGACGGAGGATCTCAACAAGAGAGGGCGCGCAACCCTGAAGAGGCAGAGGAGGGGGAGGCGCGAGAGAACGGCTTCACGCGAGGAGATGGAAAGGGGGGCTCTGCAGGAGCAGGCGCGGAGGGACGAGGAAGCAGCCCGACGACGCGAGGAAGCAGCTCTTCGGCGACAAGAGGAAGAGAGGAAGGAAGCAGCCAGGCAGGCGGAAGAAAGGGAGATTCAAGCGAAGGCCGACGAGAGGAAGAGGAGAGCAGAGATGACGAGGCAAGTCCTGCGCGTCTTGGAGCAAGCAGAGGTGAGTGTCGCTAGCAGAGCAGCCGAAGCTTTCCAACGAATCGAGCAGGAGCGAAAAGAGGCGGAGGAGCTTGAAAAACAGAGGCAACAGGAAGAAGAGGAAGCTGCGGCGATGAGGCTGTAAGAGGAGGAATGCAGGAGCGCAACCGAAGAAAGTCGGAAACGCAAGCAGGAAGAGGACAGGCGCCGCGAGCGAGAACGCATGAAAAAGAGAGCTGACGCCAGGCGCGGGGGAGGCGGGGGCAGTTGCGCAGGCACTGCGAGTCCGCTGGAGGTGGCGACGGCGGAGAGGGCTGACGCAGAAAGGCGGCAGACAGAGGAGAACGACAGGAAGGCTGCAGAGGAGCGGAGACCGGCGCAATCAGAGCAGGCCCGCACAGCAGCGGAAGAGAGGAAGAAGAAGGAAGAGGACGACGCGAGGGCAGAAGCCGAGAGGAAGCAGAAAGAGGATTCCGATCGGAAGGCGGAGGAGGAACGGAAGAAACGCGAGGAGGACCAGCGGAAGAAAGACGAGGAGGAGAAGCGGAGGAAAGACGAGGACGCCCAGGCGAAGAAGGGCGGGGGCAAGAAGGACGGCAAGAAGGGCGGCCGCAAGGGGAACTAGGACCGCGATGCTTTTCCTTGAGAGCCGTCACCACTTCTGTAGTGGATCTGTCTCCCTCCCACACATTACACTTGCGCGCCCCCCCCCCATCCCCCCTCCCAGAGGGCGACTTCCTCGTGTGCGGCGCGAAGGAGGCCTGAGACCCGCGGTGGGTTTCACATCCATATCTACGACAGTCGCTGCACGCTGGCTGCGACTGGAAGCCCGCTCAGCTGGGCCACAGAAGACACACCCGATTCTATTAAATAGAAATTCTATTTAATAGAATTGAAGGAAGTATCAAGCAAAACCCACATTCTATTAAAAGAATTTCAGAAAAGAGATTGTCCGCTTTCTAGCGGCAGATTGGCTCACTTTGCGTTGCCTGATGAAACCAACACTTCCGAACAAAGACTGGTGGTTTGACCACGGGGCTTCTGACCCTACACTCTGATCAGCTTAATAGCGGTAGTGCAAATGTTTACCATTCGCTCGCAGTCCGCGATCACCCCTTGATCGGGGTATCTAGCCTAGATATCATTGTCCTCTTGGTTCATGTCCCTACTGTAGGGGCTTTCTGGGGGGCAGGATGAGCATGGCGGATTTCTGTAGATCAGGACACTACGGCAAGGAAGGACCGACGAGGAAGGAGGCAGGTAGGGCCAACGGGGGGAGGGGGGGGCATGCATCCCGTAAGTGCTTTTCGGCTCAAGGTCCGCTTGTTTTCGGCGCGCTGATTGTCATCTTTGCATTTGCGAGTGTCTGATCCTTGTACGGTTCGACAGAATGCCTCCTCCCGCCGCGGTTTCTTGCTTCGCGTACGCCGCGCCGATGATGATTCTATGTTCGTCGATGGTGTGCGGGGCGAAGAAAGGCGACGACTCTGGCCCCGCCCCTGAGAGATGCAAGGCTTCTAAGGGGGAGGCGGTCGACCCGAAGGAGGCCACAAAGACGCGCAACTGGCTCAAGCACAATTCCTCTGGCACTGATGCAGATTTGCAGAAGAAGGCAGCGGAAGCGCAGGCAGTCTGGTCGAGTTGCAAGAGCCCTTCAGAGCGCAAGATATTCTTGGAGAGCTTCCAGAAGGATAAGAGCAAGAACTCGGACTGGGTGCGTACGTTTCACGAAGAATGCGAAAATGCAGAAAAGCATAAGGAATGGGCCAAGAAGGGGTACGTCACAGTTCCGCAAGCTTTGAAAGAACCGAACCTTTAATTGTCAGATTTTAAGGATCATAAGCTGGCTCTCGAGTTCGTCCAGGAGTGGTGGGAGGATAGTTCACAGACGTACAATACGAAGGAGGCGTTCCCAGTGAAGTACGACAAGAAGGACCGCATATTGTGGCACGAGTTCTATTTCATTTTCCCACAGATGTCTGAGGACAGCTTGGAGACGTCTGACAAGAAAAGTTTACGGGCGAGGGCGACGTCAAGTCGGCAAAAGCGCTGGAATGGGCAGCAGGCAGGATGGGGGAGCTGCGCAGTGGCAGCAGCAGTGCGAGCGCGAACCCAGTGAAGCTGGAGAACCCGCTGTGGCCGAACATCCAGGCGAACAAGGATTCGATCACGCCGTCGCCTCAGCAATTTCTCCTCTCCCTCGTCTTCCTGCTCACTCCCCTCACAAACGCTCCCCCCCTCCCTCTTCTTGCGCATAGGTCTACCCTGTCGAAGTACCAGGCTGAGATGAAGAAGCTGAAGACGCTCCGCGCGAAGCTCCACAATCACGCCAAGACTGCCAAGGACAGTGACAAAGGCCAATATGACACCTGGGCAAAGGAGGCTGACAAGACCCTCAAGAGCGCGACTGATCACGAGGAGGCGGTGGAGCTCCTGATCGAGAAGACGGGAATCACTCACGAGACGAACGAGAAGAAAGAGGATTATGCCAATCTGAACAAGGATCTCGCAGCCATGAAGTCCACCGCAGAGCACCACCTGGACGGCATCAAACTGGCGGCCAGGAGGTTCTCGCGCTACGTGGAGTGAGTGGCGTTTCCATATCATATTCGTAGCTCTCTGAGTTACATCCACATCATCCCCTCGGCGCGCAGGCGCTAGAGATGGAGGCGCAAGGCGACGCTCCAACAAGAAAAAATGCGCGCAAACCTTGATAGGGGCTCTCTGTCTGTCTGCCCCTGTCTGTCTCAGCCTATCTCTGTCTGTCTGTCTGTCTGTTTCCTGTCTGTCTGTCTGTCTGTCTGTCTGTCTGTCTGTCCGTTCGTTGCTTCTCGCTCTCACTCGCGTTCGTCTGTTCTCTCTCCATCTCTCTCTCTCTCTCTCTCTCTCTCTCTCTCTCGTTCTCTCCTTTTCTCCCTCTGCTGTTCCACCCCCCTTTCGCCGCCCCGCCCGGTATCCAGCGCGACCCCTTCTCGAGGGGGGCCTTCGCATCTTCTCGTCGCCCCTCTCCTGCAGGGGTGGCCCCGTTGTAGGGCGCGCCAGTGCGCAAGATACGTCCGTAGCTTTTGGCTCAAGGGACGCCCGTAGCTTCTGGCTCGAGAGAGGTCGCCGCAGCATGCTGTCCAAACGCGCGCTGCCTTATGACAGGCGCGCGCTGCCAGCAGACAAACGCCTGAGGGCGAACGTCGCTGACCTCGTGTCGCGCAACATCGCGTCGGGCGCCAGGGGGCCCCAATTGGCAAACGACGTCCACCGCTCTGGTGCCACAGGCGTTACTGGTTTAGTACCATCAGAAAAATACCCGGGCAATGCCCCACGTTTCTTTCGCCAAATTTTCAGAAAGACCGGTTGGCCACCCTTGTACGTGTGCGACGCGCGGGTGTGGAACACTAAAATGCAGGTGGAGGGGCCGCGGAAAATGCAGTTAATGCTGCCCCACGAGATTTTGGATCGTTTGGCGTTCTTCGGCCACGCAAATGTTCTGACTGGCGCGTCTGGGTTAGATCCCGTTTCGCTGGAGCATTTCAACAGTGCAGCGTCGTCCCTCGGCGACTCCGACACGGTCCCATGCGGCATCTGGCAAGACGGTGTGCCTTGTAACTGGGACCGCAGCGTGACCGCTGAAATTGTTTCGCTCCTGTTGCCTGGCTTAGAGGAGCGCTACGCGAACCTCCGCGCGCCCATCGCATGCTTGCTGAAGAACCAGTTGTCCCCAAACACCCTGGATGACATGTTTGAAATTGCCCGCTGGTCATTCGCGCACCTCGCAACCAAAACGCGGCCATCGTGCAGACACGAGGGATCGCCATTCGGGAAGAGCGACAAGTGGAGGGCCAAACAGCATAGCGAGAGAGGGCGACCCCCTCTCAGTGGCGTTGTCTGCCAGGTCAAAGGCGACTGGGAGATGTTCAAGGAGGCGCTGAAGCTGCCAGGGTGGCAGGGCGCGGAGCGCTGCTTCCAGCGTAAGATCAAGCTGCCCGAGGTCACAGGGAAAAACACATAGCCAACCCAGTTCTGCCTCCACCGACCCCTGCCCCAACGCCCCCCCCCCCCCTTCCCCCCGCGCTGCCTGAGGAGGGGGATCCTGGCGCGAAAGTTGTGCGCCCCCCGCACTGGCGTTGCAAAGGCCATCCCCTATCGCTAGGGGGCGATCGCCCAAGAAGCGGGGGAGGGCTATCAACGCTGCGCGCGGGGCCAGCAGGGCGAGTTGAGAGGTGGAGCGCGGACCATTAGCTGGAGGAGGCAAGGGGGGGGGGAGAGGGGAATGGAGGAAAGGGATGGCAACGCGCACAAGCAAATCAATGACACGAGACGGATAGGAGGAGGAGGAGGAGGAGGAGGAGGAGGGGGAGGAGGAGGAGGAGGAGGAGGAGGGGGAGGGGGAGGAGGAGGAGGAGGAGGAGGAGGAGGAGGAGGAGATGATTAGGGAGACGGAGGAGGAGGAGGGGGAGGGGCGGAGGAGGAGGGGGAGGAGGGCAAGGAGGAGGAGCAGAAGGAGAAAGAGGAGGAGGAGGAGGAGGAGGACGACGACGACGACGACGACGAGGCACGCAACGGGAAACCATATGCGAGGGGGGGGGCGATGCGCTGGGGAGGAGGGGAGGGCGACGCGCCAAGTGACGGGGGCGTCGAGGAGGGCGGGCAAGCCGAGGAGCAGGCGGAGGAGGCAGAGGCAGAACAGGAGAGGGAGGATGGCAAAGCGAAGTCTTCGATGCCCGCGCGGTCTCTACCGAGATCGGCCACGGCGCGCCCTGGCGCGCGGACCGCAGATCATGGCAAGAACTTTTGATGAAAATCCTGGGTGCTGGACATCGAGTATGCCCTTTGTTGATGGTTCCGTTTGCCAGCGTGCGAATTTTGATGTTGGATTGGCTGCACTGCGCGGATTTAGGTGTAGCTGCAGATTTTATGGGCTCTCTGATCTGGTATTGCGTCGTCGAGAGGAAAGTCCCAGGCGGCGCGCAGAAGCAGCGCATGCGAGAGATGCACCTTATGATGCAGGGGTTTTACGATAGACAACCTCCGAACGGCGCGCCGAACAGGCTTCCTCACTTGAGCATTGGGGTTGTGAAAGGCAAATCAAACAGCAATCCCAAGCTCAGATGTAGCGCTGGTATGGTTCGGCATCTAAAACCGTGGGGTATGGAACTTGCGGAACAGTTCTGCGACAGGAATGACCCCGTGGAGTCTTCTATGTATTTTTGCATGCAGAGTTTATCACGCTGCTACGCTGCGCTTGCAGGGTCTTTCCCATTTACGAAAGACACGATGCTGGACCATTATGTGCGTTTTGCTCAACACTTCGCTGCTTTGGCGACGGCGCATGATAACATATTTCGCATTAAACCCAAACTGCATTTATTTTTGGAATTATGTTCTTCTGGAGGACAACCGCCCAAGCACTGGAACTACCGAGGTGAAGACTTTGGAGGGTCCGCTGCGGCGTTTGGGAAGCGCAGAGGGGGCGCCCCGAACACGTCTGAGTTTTCAAGGGCATGCATGGCGAAGTTTATGGGGCAGCTTGTTGTTCGTCTCTTGCGCTGAGTATGAAAAAATAGCCCAAAGAAGGCAACGCCCCTCATCTAAGGGGATTTTCTTCGGTGCGAATTTTGACAGAAAATCTTAACGGACGAGATTTTAAGAGAATCCTAATACATGGGTGTTTGCAATATATTGGTGCATTGGATGCTCAAGGGGGAAGGGCCCGGGGGGGGGGCCCGGGGGGCGCGCCCCCCGGGGGGGCCCGGGGGGCCTCGTTTAGCTATAGGGTCCTGTTTAGTTGTCCTATGGTCTCGTTTAGGTTTCGTAGGGTCGTGTTTAATTTTCCTAGGGTCTCGTTTAGTTTTGCTGGGGTCCTGTTTAGTTGTCCTACGGTCTCGTTTAGTTTTGGTAGGGTCCTCTCTGGTTGTCCTAGGGCCTCGTTTAGTTTTGGTGAGGTCCTGTTTAGTTTTCCTGAGATCTCGTCTAGTTTTGCTTTGATAATTTTTTCCCAACCATCCTGTGGTGTTGGGTCCTCTTTTGGAAGAGACGGTGCCCCGCGTTCCCGCCTCCTTCCCCCCTCCCCCCTCCCCCTCCCACATCCCCTCCCGCACCAATTCTGGCCACGCCCCTGCACGTTTCTGGCCCAAGGAGCTCCACCGAAGGCCCCAGTGGCTGCGCCCGCATGTGGTTCCACCCACCATTCTGGCACACCCCTCACACGTTTCGTGGCCCCATAGGGAGCTCCACCGAAGCCCCAGTGGCTGCGCCCGCATGCGGTTCCACCCGCCATTCTGGCATACCCCTCACACGCTTCGTGGCCCCATAGGGAGCTCCACCGAAGGCCCCAGTGGCTGCGCCCGCATGCGGTTCCACCCCCCATTCTGGCACACCCCTCACACGTTTCGTGGCCCCATACCGAGCTCCACCGAAGGCCCCAGTGGCTGCGCTCGCATGCGAAACCACCCCCAATTCTGGCACACCCCTCACACGTTTCGTGGCCCCATAGGGAGCTCCACCGAAGGCCCCAGTGGCTGCGCCCGCATGCGGTTCCAACCCCCATTCTGGCACACCCCTCACACGTTTCGTGGCCCCATAGGGAGCTCCACCGAAGGCCCCAGTGGCTGCGCCCGCATGCGGTTCCACCCCCCATTCTGGCACACCCCTCACACGTTTCGTGGCCCCATAGGGAGCTCCACCGAAGGCCCCAGTGGCTGCGCCGCATGCGGTTCCACCCCCCATTCTGGCACACCCCTCACACGTTTCGTGGCCCCATAGGGAGCTCCACCGAAGGCCCAGTGGCTGCGCTCGCACGCGGTTCCACCCCCCATTCTGGCACACCCCTCACAGCGTTTCGTGGCCCCATACGGAGCCACCGAAGGCCCCAGTGGCTGCGCTCGCATGCGGTTCCACCCCCCATTCTGGCACACCCTCACACTTTTCGTGGCCCCATAGGGAGCTCCACAGAACGCTCCAGTGGCTGCGCTCGCATGCGGTTCCACCCCATCATGTCGGCGCACCCCTCGCACGCTTCGTGGGTGGCTCCATGGGGAGCTCCACCGAACGCCCCAGTGGCTGCGCTCGCATGTGGTTCCCCCCCCCCTTCATTCCGGCACACCCCTCGCGCGGTTCGTGGCCCCATAGAGAGCTCCACCGAAGGCCCAGTGGCTGCGCTCGCATGCGGTTCCACCCCCTTTCTCGGCACGCCCTTCGCACGTCTCGTGGCCCCATAGGGACTCCACCGAACGCCGCAGTGGCTGCGCTCGCATGCGGTTCCACCCCCAATTTCGCACACCCCTCACACGTTTCGTGGCTCCATAGGGAGCTCCACCGAAGGCCCCAGTGGCTGCGCTGGCATGCGGCTCCACACCCCATTCTGGCACACCCCTCGCACGCTTCGTGGCCCCATAGGGGGCCCCAGCAAAGGCCCCAGTGGCACTGCCCGCTGGCGTCCGCCACCACCCTGCGCAGCCCTTGTTCCCTGCGCTTCGCCCACCCAGAACAACGCTTCGTAGCCCTATAGGGAGCTCCACCGAAGGCACCAGCGGCACCGCCCGCATGCGTCCGCCACCACCCTGCACAGCCCTTGCTCCCTGCCTGCGTTTCACCCA